TATATAAATAAATTCGGTCTTATGTATTCAAAATCATCATAATATCAGTCTCAGGACGTCAATTCATAGCCCTTCCTCCCAATTAAAGTCTTTGACCTTTTTCATTACTCAGGCCACAAGAATCGGAGCATCAGACCCACTTATTCAAGACCGCAATGTCAATAAACTGTAACAATTTAAGCATGTCTTCATTTAATACAAAAAGATCCTTTGACTGGTAGTAACAAAATACAATATGCAGCAAAGAGGTGGCATGCAATTAGCCTACGTCGTTTTGACTTCATTCATTCCTATTCATCTGAGAGTTATCAGGATTGGAACCGCTATCATCAGTGCTGTATCTTTTTGTTGGTCATATGGCAGATATTGAAAAATATATTTCATGCCAGTTGCTCATTCGCAATTACCACTACTATATTTGCGAAGACGTTCCTATTTTAAAAAGGTGTAAAAAAATAAGAAAAATATTGGAAAGAAGGCTGTATTATTCCTTCACGTGAACATCTAAAACTTTTACTAAACTGACCTTAATCATATTATTTGGAGGTAAAACTAATTAACGAGCTCTCATGACCGTTTTTGTTTACGTAATAATAAAAAAAAATTATAAAGATAATATCAACAGCTAACAAATTCTAACCGCAATATCAGCAACATGTTAAGCGGATATCTTAGCCAACCACTATAGTATTATTAACATGAAGCGCTTCCCGTACTCGTTGTGCACACGATAAGAATCGACTTCCGCTGCGTCGGGGTAACAGATTCCATGTTAGAAATAGCACAATTTAATCTAATTAAATTTAATTGCCGATTGACAATTGAACGTCTGCGCGGGTCACGCTGACTCAGACATGAACGCAGCCGCACGACCGACATGACAGACATACAGAATAAGTTAATGCAGCCATGACATGAACACGACAATGCGAACTTCAAATGAAGTATTCAATATTCGCTGTGTGACCCTCCCCTTTGTTTAACGCGTTCAGAAATTCAAAAGTACTTTTCCCATTAAAAAGCTACATTATCCCTGAGTAAGATAGGCTACAATTGTTTATAGACATTTTTTATTCCCCTGGAACAAAGTCGAGAGCAAATACTATTTGCTGGTAATTTTTTTTATTTTATAAAATGGAATATGTAATAAATGTGACTAATATTATATTCTCCGGTCTTAATCATTTTATTTTGCATTATCTATTTCCTTGTTCATCAACATTAACTTATGATACATTACAAACAATAATTAATCAATATTTTTTTACTGACAATATTTAAAATAAAATTGCAAGTAAGGTTACATAGAATTCATCACGCAGGATACCCCCTAATTTGCATAGTCCCATTTCCATAGAGAAAACATTAAATCATTTTTTTTTATATATATACTTTTATTAATTAAATTATTGAAGACTACATATATACACTATTATTTGCAGTTTAAATAACAAAGGCAGCTAAGATGTATTGACCAACAACATAAACCTAAATAGAATTGGACCAAAGCAATAAAACACATTAGTCGAATGCACTATGAACATAAGATAAGTCCACATCAAACCAAACATTTTGTGGGTATAGGAATAGTGATAAACACTAGAAATATTGGACAGCAAACAGATAAATGCTTATCAGGCATCCACTTCTAAAACTTTAGATTAGAATGTATCAAATTCTTGGCATATGGAATATGGGAAAGTATTTTACAATACATGTGAAAGAAAAGTATAAAATATTACTTTGCTTCCATTGAGTAGAAAAATTAAGCAATATTATTTAAAATAAGATTCTAACTGATACAACACTTATTAGTAAAAGGATTTTTAAAATCATTTCAGCTACTTCTAGGGTTCTGTACCTCGTAAGTTAAAAATTGAACCCTTTGGGACCACTGTGTTGACAAGACATCTGTCTGTTAATACTTTTTATAGTTCACTATGAATTTCCACTTATCTGCATAACATCTCACATATAACAAACATCTGTATAAAATCATCTTCACTTTCATTCTCCTCAGTAAATGTAATTTTGCAATAGATACCCACACTTACTGATATCAAAACATAAAACTTATCTGTTTATAAATAAAATAGACTGCTATTTGGGCAATATTGAAACGATAAATGCATTTCGTATTTACAGAAAAAATAAATTTTGAGTATGGACTTGAGGAAGCACTGTCTCTTTTCACATCACAAGTCTATGGCATATTGCCAACTTTTTCTCTATTAAAATTGACAATCTATATCTAGAAAATTATCTCACTATTTACTACTAACAAATAAATATGATTAGCAAGTATGCTGTCTATAGTATTTTTTGTATCTCATCAGCCCTTTAATAATTGCTAGATAAAGGTGAACCTCAATACGTACCATATTACATATTCATGTCCACTTTTAATTTTTTTTAAACATTATACTAAAATATTAAAAGCCTATCTCTATAAAATATTAAGTATTTAGAAAATTAATATCAAAATATTCTGAAATATGTAAAATTTAAATCAAAGAAGGTACATCATGTGATTCAATAATGATTTAAAAAAATGATTGCCATTTTTATTAACTTTATATCAACACAATAGTCTTATTAGATAGTTTACTTATAATTGCAATTTAATTAATATACTGCATATTGAATGAGCATTGTTTAACCTTCATCAGCATAAACATAGTGTTACAAAACTATTGGTTCAGTTAGCTGCTAATTATACACAAGGATGTTAACTGCATTACCAAATCTACAAATATTTGTATGTTTGCTAGAAATATTCTAAATTCTAGTAAGAAAACTATACCTAAAACTGTTACATAAAACCAAGAAAGTGATGACTGACAAATGTCTAAAATGTAGTATTATTGTTGTGCTCCTTTATACATATTAAACCGATAAAATTATTATTGTACTAATTACATCTGACATCAAATGTATGCGAATTTATGACAATATTTACCTTTATGGGTTGTTCCAGTGTGACGCGTCTTTCGTCAAATGGCAAGGAATTTGAATGAGGAATAAATATAGCTCGCGGAACTCCTAGCTCCTGGTTATTAGGAGGTTCCTGGCCAGAAGTCCAATTGTAATCCATGCTTTTGATCGTGTTCATTTTTGGTTTAACTTTCTTACTCTTTGCTATCACCATCGCACACACCACTCCTAAGAGTCAACATCCGTGCTCCGTTTGTGATGTGACAACGACACATCGATGATTGGATCCAGTCTAATCACTTACTGCATGGTGAAAGGAGACCACTATCCACTACCATCTTGAGTATTCACTATTCTCAATTAAATATAGTTGTATATTATAATGAAAATAATACTAAATATCCAAACACTTAGACAAACATTTATAAAACTGCAAAAATGAAACTTGATTCCTTTCGTCGCTAAGCCGTTCTGCCAAAAGAATTTAACAGTTTTCCAAAGAAATTCAATAGAAATTTTACGTTATAGTTAGAAGGTAGGATGTAAATATCACAATTCACATACGCCCATATATATTAAAACATAATATTAAGAGGGCGTTGATCGAAATTATCGTTCGAAGAACTTACGAAATGGGCGCACGAATCGGACATTTGTTTTGTTGAGTTGGGTACCATACCATCCATATCGTTATAGCACTTCACTTGTTTTAACAGGTGTTTTATAATCTGTATCGAACAATATTTCTATGAAAAAAAAAATAAGTAAGGAAGATATTTCTAAAAAAATGAAGGAATTTGTAATATATAACAAATTACGTTTTCCGGTTTCTATTTTTGTTGTAACCCGTATTAAACTCGTGCGAAGTATTCTGTTAAATTTTAACCTATACGTATTTGACTTTTAATGACAGGATCTGTCAAGTATACCGCGTACTGTACACCAACAATACACCACTGTCAATAAATGTTAATGAACAATAGGCTCACTTGCTTGGTCATATGAACGTTATGTATGTTAACATAAGTGTCGGTGTGAACTGTGAACCTTGGACTCCACTGAAGTGCCATTTATATTAATACCTATTGTCACCCATCATTCTTTTCATTCTCTGTGACAAAATTTAACAGTCTCATATGTTTTAATATAAGTATCACTAGAGTTGAATTTACGACGAAATGCACATTTGTCACTTTTTCTTCACCGCCAGGAAAAGTGGCTGAATATAAACAGTGGTTTAGTGTAACAGCGGTTCTAATCCTTTTTTATTCGTCAAAGACACTGACCTATAAATTGGACGGCTATAAACAGCAGTACTTTGTGCCTATTTGATCTTCGTCTTTTTGACGTTAACGGTTGCGGTTGGTTGGTAACGGTGGTGAGGATACGACCTTATAACAGAGATAACTGATAGGAATTTCGGCAGTCCTTTTAAGTCTCACCAAAGCATTCATTTATAGATATTAATAGCCAAAGGCCCCACAGCCTATTCTATTATATTACAGCCAGACCTGAAATATAGAAAAGCGGACATAAGGGCGCCACAAACTCTTTTGATATTGCAACACTTTACTCAACGTCGTTACCGTTATGTCCAGCGTACAAAAATATTTGGAACTCAAAAATTGCATTAAATTATTTTAGTACAGTTTGAAAACTTGTTGTCCAAATGTATTATTATCATCATCAATCCATGATGCGTGTCTCCATGTCCATAGCAACTATTTTTAATTTTTGTCATGAAATTGCTTTTATTGTTCTATAGGGTTTCCGAAACATGGCGAGGTATTCTATTTTATTGGTTATTCAATTAATATGTTAGCTTTGTAATTAGGTAATAGACCATAGGTAGTTAAATGTTTACTCTACTTTTAGGTCGTTTTAATTATTTTTTCCTAATTACAACATTTTCTTTAAATTTTAATAATGGGAACCCTAGATTGTTTCTCTTCTTCTGACAACAACAGATGATGTATTTTTGTTTCATAATTGTGAAGGTGTTGCAAGTATATCTGCGCATAAATAAGTTACGAATTTGAAAACATAGATGGCGTACATCATTTGAAGTTTTATAGGAAAAAAAGAAAAATCGAAACTCGCCATTGTAGTATATTGAGTGAATTTGAGCCATTGCAACGAAAACGGTTTTCTGCCTTGGGTCTTATGTGAAGTGTGGTTATTCTGTGTGTGCTTTATATTTGGAAAAAGTGCAAATTTCAGTGTTTTTGCGTTTTGTAAGTACAAATGTGTTCATCAAAATTGCGGTCTTTATGCTGACTTAGTAACAACGATAAGTCTGTCGTATTCGTTTTCAGTTAGGAGTTACGGTTCAATATGGCCGTTCTGATATTTCCATTTTTCTTTACTTTTACTTCTAACGGATTTCGTTATAATGTAAAAGAAGATAACTCTTGTAAATTACGTTACTGATTTGGATATCTCGTTGATGTGGCATAATGACAGTATGGATTTTGACGTTTAAAATCTGAGTCATTTTGCTGCAATGCTTCTTGAATTCTGCATTATTTATTTTCGCGCAAATTAGGTTTTTTAGGTTTACTACGGGGCTAAAGTTTCAATATATTCCACTAATATAGAGTATTCATTTAATTTTGCGACTTTACCATAACGATTCCTCTGAGATGTCCTTTTTAATTTGGGTATCTTAACACAAGGTTTCAAGTTAAAAAATATTACTGTAACAAAGAATGTATGATCTTTATAGAACACTTTCAATTTGTGCATAGAAACCTTGCTAACCTCTAGCATATCAAACCATCATGTTTATAATCAAATCAGCTGTTCAGTAAATTGACATGTTTCAAATTGGTTTTTAATAAGAAAATATTAACAAAATAATTGACTCTATTCTCGGTTATATTTAGTGTACATATTCATTACATGATTACAAAGATCTGTGATATTGTTTTTTTTGTTGTGTATTAAAAAAAATAATCTTGACATACATATTTCACTAGAAACATATTTCCCTCTATATTAGTTAAATCAAAGATAAATAGACTCCAAATTCTTTTTGTTGAAACATACATATTTGTAACATATTTCTCATATGTTTTTGAACAGATTAAATGTCTTATTATTGTTTTTATTATTATTATATTGTTTTATAGTCCAAAATATACTTTTATCATATAGATACACACTTCTTGATATTTATTAAGCAAATTTATGTATAAATATGATAATTATACAAAGATTATAACTAAGATTTTTGTTTCTTTCATTATATTGATTTATCACTTTAGTATGGTATTCTCTTAAGGGACAGATCTACAAGTCCATCGTAAGACCTGTTGTATTGTACGGATCTGAATGTTGGGCCACTAAGGTTTCGAATGAAAGAAGATTGCATGTAGCTGAAATGCGTATGCTAAGATGGATGTGTGGTGTGACAAGTAAGGATAAAGTTAAAAATGTGTATATTAGAGGAAGTTTGAAAGTAGCGCCAGTGATCGAAAAATTGAGGAGTAAAAGATTAGCGTGGTTTGGACATGTTATGAGGAGGGATGATGATGATATAAGCAAAAAAGTAATGAGATTGAATGTGGATGGCTACAAGGGTAGGGGAAGACCAAAAAAAGTATGGAATGACTGTGTGAATGAGGATATGCGTAAGAAGGGGGTAGACTCGGATATGACGGCTGGTAGAGATGTATGGAGTAGTACATACTGTGCCGACCCTCGATAGGGATAAGGGCAGGTTGATGATGTATGGTATTCTCTTATTGGCGGTTCAATAACATATTTTTACGTAAAGCATATTGTAACATCCTAATGGTTCTTTAGATTTGATTATCAGTCAGGAAAAGTTTTCTTTAAAGGCTTCTAATAATGAGAAATTCTATAATTGAATTTTTGTATTTGAAGTAATGATTAAACTAGAACAAGGATTGGTGGAACTTGAGTGGAGCTTTAGAAAATGTGGAACATTTCAATTCAATATTCATATTAAGAAAGAACATTGTCAGTTGGGATCACCAAGTGTTTTATAAATAAATGGCTCCTATGTAGACTATCATAAGCCAGAATTTTCCGATTTAACTCCTGTTATATATTTTTTTAAATTAACTTGATAAATAATTTCTGTTATAATGTCAGAAAGAAGAACTGTAGATTTTGGTTTTCAATTCTATGTTCATATTTGTTCTTTCGTAATTTGTAATCAATCAGTCAGTTTAAAGTTTTGTCTTATACAAATTGTATTTTTGAAAGGCAAAATTTGTGTTTCAAAATATGAAAGTTTATGCAGGAGCCATTGATATCTGATCTAAGTTTACTTGTTTATTACCTTCTTCAATACTATTGTTGTTTCATAAACATTTAAAATTTATAAATGATAATAAAATGCTTGTGTAATTTGAATTGCTGCTAATAACAAAGAATAGGCTGTTTGTCAAAAAGATAAGCCAGTTTAAAGAAGCCATAAGAAAACCTAAATTGCTCATTGTTTGAAACCTTAAAAGTTAAAGGAAATTACAAAATGGCCATATGGTGTTAACCCAAATTTGTACACTATTTAAAACATATATCCTATGTAGAAATTTGTTAATGATAATTAAATACTCTTATCATTGACCTTACATAGGCAGCCTTGAAATATACTGCTACAGAAGATCACAGTTATTAGTTATTTTGACAAAGCAGACAATGACAAAGTTTCAAAACTTTAGTGTATGAAAGTCAGTTCATACATTTCTCTATAACAAATGTTAATATAGTATATTGATGGGCCCTATGTACATATATCGGCCAAAGCAATTTGATGATATTAAAAACATCTTGTAGGTTTGACTATTAGTACATCTTGGAATGTATTAATCATGATGAATTTGTAGAATTACATTAATTAGGCTCAGAATATCCGATAAAGCATTCAAGGAATGTTGGGGCAGATGTGTACATGTTTATTTTTCATTGTGAACAGGTGTGATAATGGCAACGGCGCTCCCGCCGTCGCCCGCGTGAACGAGTGAGACTCTTGTGCAGCGAACGACCCGGGCCAGCCGCCTCACGCGTCACCCGACCACGATGAAAATGGTGTTGTCACAACGGCAACGAGAGGAGCTGTAAGTACTATCTTAAATTAGAGGTATTATAGTTCTACAAGAGTACTATTTTAGGTAACAAAAGTCCACATCAAAATAGATATCAACAGACTTTTCGTATATTGCCACCATAACCTGTTCAGTTACGTCATTGACAATAGGACTTGTTATCAAGATAGACTTTTTTTAGAATTGTACTGCGTGCATATGGATTATTTAAGAAGTACTGATGTAACTTTCGCGGACGGGTCGACGCAGCGTAGGTAGGCCTCCCGCACGATGGACCGATGACCTGGTCAAGGTTGCGGGAGTGCACTGGATACGGGCGGCACAGACCGGACATTGTGGCAATCGATGGGGGAGGCCTACATCCAGCAGTGAATAAATCTAGGCTGATTATGATGATGATGATGTAACTTACGATATTGAGATATAAAAATCCTGTGATTACAAATAGTTTTTTTAGTATATCATTTTAACACATGTAAATATAATCATTTTTTTAAATTATTTTTACATTCACTTTATCTATAGTTTTCCGAACTGTTTATTAATATATAAATGTTACACTATACAGAGTATATAAGACAACCACATCCTGGTCCAAAGCTTGTCTCTATATGTAAATAACTCTATGTATAGTAGCATCCACACTCTTATCACAGAACTAACATCCTTGCTGTTAACTAGGACTTATCACTATCTATGGCACTCATTGAGTAGTAAAATGTAGGAAGATCCTTGAATAAATACAACTTCTTTTTAATGCAGGTTAACTATAGAAGTTAAAGAAATGTTAGAAATAAAGTGTCATACTACCATGCATATGTCACATGGAATGGCATCCATTATGGATCAAAAAGCAAATGCTTAAGCAGTATCTGACATAGACTATCTCTATGGACTCATTATATGACAATGTACTTTAAATAAAAATTGTAGGTCTTCAATTTACAATGATATGAGTTCAGTATGTAAACAGCTAATTATAATCTATTCCCATTGCCAATGACTTCGAACAACTTTATCACGTCTTTTTCACACATAAGATTAAAAACAATATGCCTCGTAATGTTTAAAATGGATAATCACCATTTAGGTTAACCTAGATTAATATTGTTGCAAATTGTAAAGAAAATAAATATATCACCTGGTCTTTAGGTCACTGTACTACGCACCACTATCGTTGGTTGATTGCCCTTGAAGGTTTAACGCCTTTGTTCTGTGTATCGATTTTTTTTAATAATATGTAAAGGAGTATTACCCAGACCTTAATTTATCTAACGTGTATTGGGTTAAATAAAAACTTTTTTCGTCTAGGCGCTTTGGGTTACGACCAACTGGAAACTCACGGCCAGTCCTTTTTTTTCGTTTTTTTTTTAATTATAATTATCACAGGCTGTTACTTGCATAGTTAAATATCTGTAGTTGAATTAAATACAAGTTTTGTGTATAAATTTAATTTAATTGAATATGAAGAACAATAAACAAATATACTACGTAACTCTTCTACGCCGTAAGATGTCGATCCAAGCAGTATAGGTAATACTGCATTGCGGTATTCCAGCATCCCTCTGCAATCTCCCTGTTGCTTTTCATTATTCAATATATCCGCGATTTATTGAAAACGTCAATTATCCGTTCACGTCTGGCCCATATAGATTTGGCGGCCTTCTTCATATTTAATACTTATGATAAAAAACGAAATCGCATCCGTATCTTTTTATCGCAGATATCTATATATCTATTGTAAAAGATATATTAAGAAAATAACAATTTTAAGGTACCAGGTTTATTACATGAAATGAACATGTTTTCCAATACCTTAGCCTTAATCTAATGTACCAAAAGTAGTGAAAACTAACCTGGACTCCACGAGAATCATCACAAAAGGGGTGTAAAATGGTAGAAATGTGTCATCAAGTTTTCATCGAAGCAAGCATATGTTTTTTTAAATGTTTATCATCTAAACCAATTGTTTTTTGCTCATTTGTAGTTTGGTCGTAGTATGAGCGCGTGTTATCATGGGCTAGCCAGCGGTCCTGTACCTCGCTCGACCGTTGAAAGTAACAGTGTTCTCATAACGCCATGTCGTTGACCTCGGTGTCGGCGCCTTCCTCCAGTCCCTCGGCTTTGCAACTTTCTTTATGAACCTAGAAATCTCATCATCATTATACTTACGTTATTGATACGGCTCGGATGCTGATTGCAGATTTCAAAGAACCTGTAATAAAACCACTCGAGCTTTTTGCTCAACAGATTAATGAGATAGTAACTGTATTAGTGTACCGCACTGTAATGTCATTAAAGATATTATAAGCGAAGATTAGAACGTTAGTGACCTAACTAGAGAATTTATGGTTATTTATTTCATTAATCTGAATTCCTGTACGAAATGATAGATTGATTTGGAGTACTACGCATTTTCTTCCTTGCCCTTTTAATTAGTACTTTTCGTATTAAGATTATGAAAGTTTACATAAATATGTATGTTATTATGTACAATAATAATCAGTGCTTATTTCTGTCCTATGATGTTTGCGTATATTTTATTCTTGTTCTGATATGCTTTACCATTCCGGAGAAGAAGAACTAATAAGAAATTCTAATAAATACATTACATTATTCTTTTTGATCAAATGTTATATGTAGAATTATTTTGAAGTATACATCGGTTATGAAAGGTGCCTCAAAATAACAGATTTTTATTACCCCGTATGAATAATTTATAAAATCATATGCCAAAGTCAAGTAATAAATTTTACTATCTATAATAACATCTCTTACCGAAACGCTTTAATGAATCAGCTGTGTTATTAGACTCGATATAGTAGCTTTTACGTTTGCGAAAACTTTATAGATGTAACAAATGTTAATATGCTACAATACAGCAAACTTCCGACTTAATTTTAATTCAAATAACTTCAGATTTACGTTCGAATTATTTGTCTATTGTCTGCAATTATGTAATTTAGTTCGATCTCTATTGCTTATGGAATCTTCTAGTCACTGTTATGGTATTTGTACAATTGGTTGTGCCTTTTACTTTTATTGTATTACCCATTGTGGTGTCGTGACCTGAAGACCTCGGCCTGTTCCTTAATAAATTCTTTGCAATGCGAAGTGAAAGGGAACCACCGCCTATTCTGGTAAACATCAATAAAAATAAACTTGTCTGTCTGTTAGTGACGATTGTTTATACTGTTCTCGAACTATTCTAAATTGTTTTATATTATTTTTGATTACAATATAGTGTCTTTAACCTTACCCTTATTTATTCTTTTACCCTTCACAAACTATCTTATTTGTATGAAACCCTAGTAGTCGTCTATTGTATTTGATAATTATACAGTCAAAGTAGAAACTCGGGACTCTTGCTTATCCAGGTTCAACTGTATATCAGATTAATATCGAGTTAGTAAATTTTGTTCTAATATATTTATTTACTCTGAGTCATATGCGTCATGCTAGTTTACATTGAACACGCAGACATATTACAACGCCCATTAAGAAGATCGTCTTATACTTAAACTCTATTAGGAGTTGTTTCATTCATTAGTTATTGACTATATACATGTATTTGTGTTTACAGCACATTCATTTCCTACTATTAGTTGTTTTATTTTAAAAGCATCTAACAATTAATATTCTATCCACTAGACACTATTGATCGTAGGTACATAGGTAAATATTATGACTCTTGTAGTAAAAATAGGTATTATAATAATATAGGTATATATGTAATATTTGAATGAGTTTTTTTTAATGTTTACGTTTACAACGATAAGAGCAAAGCGGCAATGAACTGTAGCAAATTATAGTCTCATGTTCTTTTTCTTATCCATGTACAGTTGATGACGTTTATAAGGCCATTTAAAAAGATATCAATCCAGTTCACATGGTAATGTAACAAGTGCGTAGCTACCGGTATATTTGCTTATGTAACACATATAGAAATGCGATCGTGCTCTTGTAGCCGGAGCCTTCGAGTGACAGCATCCTTAATACATTAAGCCATTTTGTTGCATCACCGTGTCTCTGACCGAGTGAGCGCTTTTCCTTGTTGGATAATCTCTTGTCACATGTTTCAGGCAGTTTACACGTGTGCTTTTTAATTTGTTGTGACTTTTACATGCTATTTTGTTTAGGTTTTCCTTTCTTTCATTCTTTCAAATTCACTATTTCTATTATATACATACACTTCTATTTTGGTAACTTACATTACATACTTATTACATATATATGAATTCGGAAATATTTCCCTTTCCACACTATTTTGTATATAGAAAATATTCTCTTTGTATGCATTCTCTCCTCCGTCAATTAAAGGTAGGTAACGCATATATAATTGCGTATGTCTATTGGCAACGGTCGCTTCGCCATTTCAGCGATTTCAGGTGGCCGTTCGCTCGTTTGCTTAATAATGATATAAAAAATATACATATTTGCATGTATGTGTTTGATTTAGAGGTCAATGAATTTATATTTATTATGAAAAGATAGTAAGAAATTGATTTAATTGACGTTACAAATCAATGAAACTTAAGAATTATGTTTACTGTTTTTCAGTGATGCTCTGTGAACTCTGTAATTAACTTTTTTGTCTTTAGCTATGAATTGTCTTGGAAATGACGTTCATACGTAACCTCGATATTTGCTTCTTGTCCTACATAAGTACTTGTAAAGAGGAAGCTCGTCCCGTTATTACTTACGAGTGAGGAAGTCATTCCGTTTAGTCATTAGGTAGAGTTTTACAGTAAAGTATATACGAAAAAATTGACACTAAAACATTTTTCTTAATTTATTAATTTCTTTTGATATTAGTTCTATAACTATTTGTCCGAGTTTATAGTAGAAAGACAAACCTTTGAACTGCAATATGAAGGTTAAAGTTTTTTAATACTCTATGATAATTAGTCATGTTGTTAAGTATAATTTTCTTAAATACTAAATAATATTATTGTACCTACATCTTAGTTGGTCACAACATGTTTACTCTATGTTTTTGTTTCATCACGATA